GTGGCGCCCAGGGCCCGGCCGACGGTGAGGTCTCTGAAGGTGCGTTTGGTCTTAGTCACTGCCTAGCTGCGGGCGATACCGCGCAGCCGCTGGATCTCAGGATCACGAGTTCAGCCCTTCTTTTTTTGCTCACGTGCTTTTCTATATTGTAAACCTAAACGAGGCAAATTCACTTCCTTTTGCTTTCACGTGCTCTCAGCTTGACTTTTCTGGCTGTATTAAACTGTTGCGCCTCTCTAGGTGAAGCACTTTGTCTTTGGAAGGAGCTGCCTAGCTCAGAGATGCGGCGTGGCAGCTTCTGTTTTGTTTCTTTGTGTCAAAACTATGAGTTTTACCATATTTCTCATTCTCCATAGCCGCATCCCGGCTTCACGGGGTCCTTCCCCATCCACGTTCAGTCTCTGCTTGGCAACTTCCTGACACGTTTCATCGTCGGCCCGTTTGTTTGCTCTTCCTCCAAGCGAGGGAACAATAAACCCTGGCCAGATCAAAGTCCAGCGCTCAGATGACCAATACGGGTTTCGTTCCCGTCCCTGCCGGCGCACCGCGGGTCTCCACTCCTGCCATGCCTGGGGTCAGCCCTCTGCACAGCTGCCCCATTTCAATTGCAAATAGCGCGGCGTCCCCCCGAGCGGGGACCTTGGTGGCACACAGAACAACCGGCGGGATGAGCGGCGTTCAAGCTGCCTCCGCGAGGCCATCACTGGTGTCTTTGCCATTTGAGTTTTTTTGGTAACAAGTCAGGCCAAAATCGTTGTCTGGGATTGTCTGGGCCAATAAAGATGCCTTGATCCAAGAGTTTGGAAACCAGAATCGCCAGGGCAGGTAACCCAACGGCGAACGGGGTGCTGCGTTTGGCTCTGCCATCTCTTCACCGCTGTCATTTCTGCGCTTCACGAGGTCAGCAAACGAAAGCTACAGAAATGCCCAGTTGCCTGGGAATCCTTGTACAGTCCCCCCTTTCTCTTTTTGGTCTTTATTTAAAAAAAAAAAAAAAAAAAAAAGCTTGTTCCGGGAACTGGTTGTTTAAATTAGCTTTAACAAAAAGCTGTGCAGTTCCCAGGCTTTCACACGAGCGCCCGAGCTGGGCTGGGGGAAGCAGCGCTGGTGGTGGGTAGCTGTGCAAGCGTGTGTGAATACCTGCCGTCTCCGAGCTGAGCGCAAGTGATGGTTTCTTCCAGGAATACCAAATCACAGAGAAGAGATACCACCAAACGCTTTGACGTACAGGTTGCTAGAGGCAATTGTTCTCCTTGTAAAGAA